AAAGAGCTTCAGGCTTATGAAACCTTTTGCAAAATGATTTCACAGATGCAATTTCTGACATGATGGGACACCAGAGGGAGTGACGCGTCAACTGATATTACAAACAAAGCAATCAGGTATTAGTGGATTTTTGTTATGGGTGCAGGTGTAATAAGGTTGAAGAAGCATTTATAGTGCTTCAGTATTCAAGGTAAATTACTTAGTTTAAGGTTGTGTTTGTCTTCCAGGGAAGTGTATAAACTCCAGCCAGAAAACTCCACAGCGATGTGCCAAGTTAAAACAAGTAATTGATCTCAAAAGTGGTCTGACAGACAAGTTACGCAAGCTATGTCCTTATAAACCCCACGCCGAGGGAAAACACGTCTTGTCATCTCTTCTTTTAAGCTGTAGACTAACACACCTGGTTGGCAGCGCCGGTGATTGTTCCACAGCAGCTGATGAACTTGTTGAACTCAGACATCAACACATGATTTCTCTCTTCATACACAGGTTGGTGGTCAGAGGTGGACAAAGTACACAGTGTAGATCATCCAGGTCAGATATTACTCCAATACAGGTGAAAGTTCTTCAGTCGAATTTTACTTAAAGTTAAAGTACTGGAGTACTTGCTTTTGAAAGTACTAACCATTCAAAAGTACATTTTTTTTCGTCAACACACTGTTGTATTGTTCCACAGTGCTGACTTTGTAGAACCTGTAGAATAAAAAGCTTGTTGAATATGTTGCAAAGCTGATAAAAAATGCCCATAAAAAAAAACACAATTAAATCAACAAAACGATGCCAACTACCATCTGTTTATCTGGTTCATTATCATATCATAAAGTTGAATGGCACATTTTTATAGGTCTACGTAGTGATGATATTTGGTTGAGTTGAACACAGAAAACATTGGAAACAAAGGGAGTCTTTATCTAATTTTGAAATTTCAAACATGGACTTGAAGCGTCTTTATCTTGCAGCCATCATTAGGACGCTGCCAAGTTCAAACAGAGTTGTTCAAACATGAAGCGGCACAACATGACTAACAGCGCAGGAGTTGACTGTGATTGGTTTTTCTCCTGTCATGAACACAGTGTACGGTCCATCACACTTTTAGAAATGAAAGCTCTGCTTCAAAGAAACTTCACTTCACTTCAGAAATGTAGCGGAGTCAAAAGTACAGATATTCAAAAAATATACTTAAGTATAGAACCCAAGTAAATGTACTTTGTTACTGTCCACCCCTGTCGGCGGTTCAGACGTCCACGTGAATCTACTTTATATCACTGTATGACCCAAGGTGTCTGCAGTTGTTACATTTGAAATAATATGTCTGTTCAGATCTGTTATAAACCATTATTAATGTTGTGGTTGTGGAAAACTTTCCTTCATCTCGACACTTCACTTTTCTTTATCGAGTTCTTTAGCATTTTATTTTTATTTTTTAATTTTATTTCAACCACTGTTGGGTAGACTGTCATTTCCTGTCAGACGCTGGATGGCATGATGTTGTCGTTATATTTTCTTTCTGAATTTTTGTTGATTTGAAAAATAAAAAACATCTTAAATGTTATATACGTTGTATACTATACTTTTACATTGACAAATTATATTTTTAAAATAGGATTTTATTGAAAAAATGTGGAAATTAAAACCACTGTATATTTCTCGTGCTGGATTTTGATGAAAAGGTTTAATTCAGTGGACTTCATACAACGCCAGTGAGGTGACTTGTATCTGCAGCAGCCTGCTAGATGCTTCCTGGATTACTCAGATGCTTTTAATATAGATTGTTATCGGCTGCTGAAGTTACTTTGCTGTATATTTTATACGGCTGATGCAGAGCTAAAAGCTTTACCTGCACTAAAAAGTTTCCCAAGAAGGTTTTTCAGCAGCTGGATTTGCAAAGCTTTGGACTTCACATGGTAAACAAGTCTCCCCGCTGGCACATTGTGAGTGCAGTCTGGAGATGTAGATCTGTCAGAGTGAAGCAACAACCATTGTGGCGATAAGAAAATCAACATAAAGCCTCCCTGCAACTTTATTGAGTTGCCAGGGTTTTGGTTTTCATGGTTGTTCTGAAAATATTGTCCAACTTTTCCAAAATGATCCACCTCTCATTGGTTTCAAAAACAAACATGAGTCAAAAAACACATCAGGCAGCTGCACTGTATGACTCATTTTATATTTACAACACCATTGGTTTGGATCATGAGGGCTCGATAAATTCTCTTTTCCAGGGCCTTTATTCATCAAACCTGAGAAGATCTACACTTGAGAAAGCTCTGAGTCAAAAAGGTCTTTGAGGATTGTGACCAATAAGACACATTTACCAGGTGACTTCCTCCTGCTCACAGCAAAGTGTAAAAGTCACTTAAGAGCAGCTCACATGGTCACATGTACACTCAGTCAGTCATGCTTCTGTCATATTGCACTTTCTTTAAAAAAAAAAAAAAAAAGAAGCCATCACAGTTTATTTAGTTGTATGTTATTCTGAAAGTAGTTGTGATTTCTTACAAAGTTCATTGTATAAGTATGAAATTGTTAAATCCCCATGATAATTAACATGGGAAATTAACCACAATCTATAATGTATAAATATGTAAATAGGGATTAAACAGATGGAAATAAAATTCTGCTCTTGGTAGATGAGACAAGTGCTGACAATAAACATGTAAGTGAATGTCAATAAAATCAGATTTGTTCTTATTGTTAGTTTTCCCCCTGAAAAATGTCACTAACCCTATTTTTAGTTATTGTACTTCAGCCAATGTAGAATTATTATGATTATGATTATTATTATTATTGAGAAACATCTGGAGCTTTTAATGTTTAATCAATCTTTTATTCATTAGTTTGTGAGTATGAGTAAAAGTGAAGGATTGTTACTTTATCTTTCACTTCAGCCCAAAATTGTACTTTTAGCAGTTTGACAAATGCGGCCCAGAGTGACATCTGGTGATGGAGAAGGACCGAGTCGCCCTCTGGTGGCAGTGTTCCTACTTTAATCTCTTCAACCCCACAAATCAACCGGTGGGTAAGTCAGTATAAACTCATACTTCAGAGCCAAACTTTCTTCGGCCTCACAGAGAAATATTTTAAACTCCGGTTAAGATTCCAACATTTCCACAGATGTCAAATAAATCAGGCTGATTTTGTGGATGTATTAATAAAATGATGTGCATGACATTAAATGGAAGGTAAGATCATACAGCTTCAATGAAGAGCTGTATAAACACATTTATGCACAATTCAGTGTGTGACACTGTGGGACAATTGAAGCTAAATACAAGGAGAAAACTGGAATTTATAAGTTAAACATTAATGACTTGAATTCACTAACTTACTCTGCATTTAGTCTTTAAAACTTAGATTAATTCTCAGTCAGTCTAAGTAGATTTTGATTGTCTTAGAGAAGCCATTTTGCATAATTTCCATTCAATTGTCTTTCAATTATTAATACTAAATTAATAATACATTGAACTGTTAAATGGCCAGTGCCTCATTATCCATGATGCATGTGTGCTGCTTTTATGATGCAGTTTATTTGACACTAATGGAGCAGAGCAGAGTGATAATGTGTAGTAGAGCTGCAATGATTAGTTGATTAATCAATTAATCGACTGAAAGAAAATCAATCAAACTATTTTGATAACTGGTAACTCATTTTTCAAGAAACACTTGCTGGTCAAAGCTTCTCAGATGAAAGGATATGCTGCTTTTCTTTGTCTAATAAAATAGTAAACTGAGTATCTTTGGAGAGTTGGTCAGTCAAACAACCATTTTGAAGATGTTACTTCGGGTAAATTGTGAAGAACTTTTTATACTTTTTTTTCTTCTTACAAGTGAAACTGGTGAAAAATGGCATTAATACAGTTATTGGCAGTTGAGCACACCTCCCTATCATGAATATGCACATTATTTATCACTCTAATAGAGTCACATGGACAAGGAGTGAGACGGTGACACAGACAGTGCTCCCTCTTGATAAACACTGGCATGTATTTCTGTTTGGCAGAAAAATGTTCCACTTAGTCGAATATATTTCATCATCTTCTCTTTCTCATTATGTTTTAATTTATTTAGACAACACTTCATTAGACCAGTTACTGTTGATCTCCAAGTGGACCATGTCTGGAATGTGATTACAGACCCTCCACATCAGCCTGTATTTATGTTTTGTTTTTTTAAAGAGTTCAACTGAAAATGGCAATTTACACACCCCGCTGGCGGCCACTGGCTCCAGACTAGTGGCTTTGCTCCCCTCTTGTGGATTTACCTTTTGCAGCCTCAGATTGAGCTCTCTTTACCTGCCAATGCCTGAGAGAGGAACAGTCGCAGAGTTTACCTAATGAGTGGAGGTCCGACAGCCTAGATGAGTGATCGCTACATCACAGTCTTATTTGTGCAAGTCTGAAGTGTTTCATTATGAACGACATAAAAGTTTGAGATGCTCTACATTCATTATTCAAATGAATAACCCGTAATAAAATTCCTAATAGTCTATCATAAATGATTTAAGAAAAAAATTAGACTTTTACACACAAAACAAGTTTTATTGTTATCTGCCCTAATTATTATACTGTCTATAATAACTGTATAACTGTAATTGATTTTGGTGCCATTCTACAGTATTAAACTCTATGGCAGTTATCAGCCTGTTACCAGAAACAAACAAATAAAAAAGATTAAATCTGTAAGAAGAGTAAATCTGTATTTGGCGTATTGTTTTTTGTCTTTTTTTTTCCTGTCACAACACATTGTTTCTGTTATAAACCATTTCATTTCCTTCACATGTCCATGCCTCATGTGGGATTGAATTCATGAATTTATGATTCTTCTCTTTCATCTTCTTGTTATGTGAATATTGGGACATATGTATTATGTGCATGTTGTTTTATGACAGAATAAAGTCAAACAAACCCACCAGCTGAACAAGGTTTCAAGTAAAGTGGAGGTTTAATAGTGACAATGACGCACAGACAAACATGTGGCATCCATTTCCTATGGCATGTATTCAGTGCACAGCATTGGATAGTATTGAAAGTATAAGATTATCCATGTAAACTTAAGTTATCAAACAACCAAACTTCAACAACAAAACCCCACCCAGTTTTACAAGGGCGGCTTCATTGGCCTGTGTGTCTGTAAATCCGTTCCCTCTTTATTTGGCTGCTGCGATTGGTCGGCGGTGACGACAATCCCGAGCCGTGCTCCCGCCCACCGAGCGGATCAAGTTTGAATGAACAACAGCAGTCTGTTCTGGAGGTGGTAGTTGCATTTGCAGTAATTATTAAAAGTGTGTATCATATCACGGGTGCGCTGATCAAGGATGGACATGAAGAAAAGAATTCATCTAGAGTTGCGGAACCGCACTCCGTCAGATGTAAGTTGGCCTCACATCTCGCTGGTAATGTTTCACACTCAGCTAATGGAGAATCTTTCGTGTGATGTCTTGGTGTGGGGATACAAAGTTTCTTCCAAGTTAAAAGATGATGGAGACGTCGGGTCACATTGTTGCTTTGCGATCGTGTTTACAGTCGCCAGGTGCTGCAGGTACGCTGCTTGAACTTTTGTGCGGCTCTAAGCTCACGTTTTGCAGTTTGAGATGCAGCACAGCTTTTTATGCCAGCGGTATAAACAAGGCAAGCAGTATGAGAAGCCATATTTGTAACTTTTGATCTACGAACGCGCCCCTTTTCGTTTAAAAACCCGTGATATTGTTATTTCCTCGCCGATGTTGATGTGCTATCTGCATGCTTTGACTGGGAAATGCATTCGCCGAAACATTTTAAGCCGTGCACTTGGCGCGTTAAGGATGCGGATACTCAAAGTCATGAAATTATCAATGATGCATAAAGATCATAGCCTCCATTTATCGCCTGATAACCGCGTCCCAGACCCACAGTTACTCCGACCGTCCGGTTGAACTCGTGTATTTCTGCAGGAAGTGCATTACAACAGCTTACACTGGTGAGCCTGCAGCCCGAGCAGCCGACAACCGGAGACCACGGTGCGCACAGATGGCCGAAAGAAAGCGGTGTTAGCACGGACCGTTACCAGCCACCGGGCTGGGCGACAACACAAGGAGGGGAGGGGGTGCAACACAAACACGCCGTCGTCGTTTACTAACTGCCCGGTGTTCATTCGGTCGGTTCATCTGGACTCTCTGTCGCCTTCGACTCGAGAGGTCCTGCCTTAATGAAAACAAATGGTCGAGCCGCGTTGTTGCTCCAGTTTTCCAGAACTAGGACAAGCCGCCATCTTACCGAGAAACAAAGGCAAACCGAAGTACACCGAATATCCCGTTCATTCGACACACACGACGAACGATTCATCATACCTTGTTATTAACAGAAGCCTATACACGCCATCAATCCAATCGGCAACTGTTTAGCACAAGCAACAATGAAACGTTTGCCTGGCAGCTATCTAATCGGCTTTAGCTGCCCCTCCTACTCACAAATGACCCTGTGCACGACTCGTAGGTCTGTTTGGCTCCGACTTGTTTTGAGTAATGTGCATCTGCGCCGCTCACACACATCTCTTATTACACTTTAGCTCGGTAACCAGTGAAAATAAACCCTTACATCCTGCCGTACTGTGTCTATTTCTGCTGGAAAGAAAAGTAGCTAAGTGTGATATTTACGTAATGGGAGGAGAACCAGTGCATCGCGATACTTAGTGCGTTGAAATGTGCGCAGTGTACAGATTATTGATGTACAGTATGTTTTTTTTTTTTTTTTTTAATAGTCTCGCTCCTCAGTGCTGATTGGCTGAGTCACGTTCAAGGTCGCGGTAAAATATCAGATAACTGCACACCTGTGACCGCATATCAGACTATTTGAATATCAATGCGCCAAGTTAACCATCATACACTGTGGTAGGCCAATGTACAGCTGCATGCAAAAGTTTGGGAACCCCTGGACAAATTTTTATAATTGGTTGATTTATGAGGTGAACTCCTGCAGCAATTAAACATAATAATGAGCCTTTCTTCAAATGCACTGTTATGCAACTTAATACATAGTAAAAAAAAAAAAAGAAATCAACAATATTTGTGCCATGTGCAAAAACATGGCTGAATGAGGGGGGCCCCTATTAAGCACTATTAATTACATTGGTTCAGGCACCCAGAAACCAATCAGTGCTGGAGAGGTGAAATGATTAGTTTAATGACAGAAAATAAATGGCAACAGTTTTGATATGATTAATCATTTCAGTGTTTTTTAAACAAAAATGCCAAAAATTCACTAGTACCAGACTCTCAAATGTGAATATGTGCTACTTCCCTGGTTTTCAATTGTATTAAACTTAATTTTTAGGGCTTTTGACCCAAAAAGAAAACAAAAAACCCTGAACTATTAATCTATTAGTCATGTGTTGTTGATAATAATAACTATTGGTTGCAGCCTTGCAGTTCTCCTATGATGAAATAATAAAATGCCTGTGGTTTTCTGTGTGATAATTACTTGACACAGAAAAGCAATTAGATACAACAACAAATAACCAGAATATGAATTAAAGCATTTAAGATCTTAGAACTAGATTTTGACACAGGGTGTCTATTCAAGGGTTTGGGCAAAGGTTTGGGCATCCTCAGCGGTCAGTAACAAGTTAATCATGGGGGTGTAAATGCTACAGTTTGGGGTTATGTGGCTGCGGCCAGTGGCACTGGAAACACTGCACACATAGAAGAAATAATGTTTTTTTTTGGTTAAATTTTGGATGCACAAGTCCAGCAGTAAGTCAAGAAAGTGAAACTGAGAAGAGGCTGACTTCTACAACAGGACAATGATCCAAAGCAGACCTCAGAATCCAACACAAACTACTTTAAAGAAACACAAGCTGACACAAGCTTTGGAGCAGCCCTCGCGGTCCACTGACCTGAACATCACTGAAAATCTGTAGGTGGATCTGAAACATGCGGGGCAGCCTAAAAATATCCCAGAACTGGAAGTGATCTGCAGGAAGAGTGGGTGACAACTCCTCATTCAACAATGGAAAGACTCTGATATCTGCCAAAGAGAAGTTCATGAAGGTCTGATTTAGTAAGATTCCCAAACTTTTGCACATGGCATATTTAAAAAAAATAAATAAGAAATTAAGATTGTGAAATAAAAAGTAACAGTGCATTAACCTTTAGAGAAAGGCTCATTTTTATGTAGGGGTTGTATTTACTTGTTTTCACTTCATAAATCAACTAAACACATAATTTCTGTATACCTTTGCACACGGCTGTATAAAGTGACACCTGCTTTGTTTGTCTATTTTTGAACATTTTATCATCTCTTCAGCAGTACCTTGCACTTGTGCTCCATTGTTTTTATTTAAAGTGGTGTGTAATCAGTTTTACAAAACCATAACAGTGGTGGGAGAAGTATAGATCCTTTTTACTTAAGTGAAAATAGCAATACCACACGATAAAAATACTCCCTTACAATTACAAAGGCCTGCTTTCAAAATTTTGCTTAAGTAAAAATACAGAAGTAATATCAGCAAAATCTACTGAACGTATCAAAAATAAAAGAACTCATGCAACAGAATAATATATTATGATATATACATTTGAGCCGTGATGATTAATTGATTAGTCAATCAACATAAAAAGAATCAGCAACTATCAATCAATCGTTGTAGTAATTTTTTTTAAGCAAAAAATTCAAACAATTTCCTGTTTTAAGCTTCTCAAATGTGAGGATTTGATGCTTTACTGTTACTCATATACAACAGTAAACTGAACACCCTTGGATTGAGATGCTTCGTCAGACAGAACTAAACGCTAGAAGATGTCGCCTTGGTCTGTGGGAAATCATTTTTCTTTATATTCTGGCATTTTACAGACAAAACGATTTATCAATTAATAAAAAAAATTGAAATGATCTTTAGTTTCGGCCCTAATGTGCGTTATTTGACTCTTTGAGCAATGTTATTTTTTCAAAGTGGATGTGAACTACGTTACGTGAACTGCAAAGTAGCAACTAAAGTAAATGTAGTGGAGTAAAAAGTGAAATCTCTCCCTCTGAGTGGAGGAGAAGTTGATAATAATGGTTATATTCAAGTAACACACACATACTTGAATAAACATATTATGCACTGACCATAAGCCAGTTTGACTGTAGGTAAAGTTTTCAGGTTGAATTAGCGTAGATCGACATTTAATGATTTAAAGTCACATTCAGCCTCAGTAGGACTAAGAGCTAGAAATCATCGAAACTCCAGTTGCTTTCCTCCCAAATAAAACAACTAAAACAAGGCTTTTATCAAAAGATATTTCACTTTTTTAAAGACCCTTTTCATATGTTTAACAATTTTTCATTTGAATTTTCAAATTTGACATATGTTGACTAGATGTGTTTGTTTGTTCTGCAGGTCAAAGAACTTGTGCTAGACAACTGTCGCTCGAATGAAGGCAAGATCGAGGGTCTAACAGATGAATTTGAGGAGCTGGAATTTCTAAGCACAATCAATGTTGGACTGACGACAGTCGCCCACTTGCCAAAGCTAAACAAACTCAAAAAGGTGGGTGATTTTCTACGCAGAGCAAGTCTATGACGTCAGGCTTTAAGGTGTTGCATATTTTGATTGTTGAATCGATCAACAGCTTGAACTCAGCGATAACAGGATCTCAGGAGGGTTGGAAGTTCTGGCGGAGAAGTGCCCCAACCTCACACATCTCAACCTCAGTGGCAACAAGATTAAAGACCTCAGCACAATAGAACCATTGGTAAGCGAGACCTTAAAATACTTCCAAGGGCAAAAAAGCTAAATCTGTGAAGCAGCTGGCTGTTATTTATCGAACGTAATTGTTCTTTTGACAGAAAGAATTGGGGACCCTGAAAAGCCTAGATCTGTTTAACTGTGAAGTGACAAACCTGAACGAATACAGAGACAACGTATTCAAGCTACTACCCCAGCTCACGTACCTGGACGGGTACGACAAAGACGACAAAGAGGCGCCAGATTCTGACGCTGAGGTTTACGCAGAGGGCTTGGATGATGACGAGGAAGACGAAGATGGTAAGTTCGTAAGTCCTTCACACACCCTCTCATGAGCGCAGCTGCATTCTTTCTAGCATCTCTTCAAGCTGCTAATTTTAGGCGATTTGAACATTTGAACAACAATTAACCGCCGACCGGCTTCACCCAGATGTAGACGAGGAGGAGTACGATGAAGATGCAGCACCAGGAGACGAGGAGGAGGAGGAAGGAGAGGAAGATGAAGAGGAGAACGAGGAAGAGGAAGAGGACGACCTCAGTGGAGAGGTGGGACGAGAAAGATTGATGAGATTTGCGTTTTGTAATTGTTTAAAATGTTGAGTCTGAAATAACCACACTCCCTTTGCCTTGCCTTTTTTTTTAAAAAGGAGGAAGAGGAGGAAGATTTGAATGACAGAGAGGTTGACGATGACGATGACGAGGGTGAGTTAAATAGTGCCTGACTTTCCCAATTGCACACTACATGACAAGAGTATGCAGCATATACTTTATACTATATAGTTTGTTTTGCAGTTAGTATGAAAGAAATCAACACACTTAACGGTGCACTGTGGAGTTTTCTTGCTTTTCCTACATTAAATGTTCCCAGAATGCATTGTGTCTATTGTTGAGGCCTTTTGAATGAATTTCCCTCCGTGTAAAAACCCTTTTTTACAAAGCCTATTTTTTCAAAAGAAATTCAAAGTCGTTCATTGTTTACATCTAAATTTGCAGCTAGTTTACTGCTGTTGTTGGTGCATGGCTAGGCTTGTTTGCATGTTACCACCAGCAACAGCAGTTTTGCATGAAACTAGTGACAGGACTTTGTATCAGGTCACTTTTAATTCTCACCAGGAAAGATTTTTCTCCTCTGAATAGGACATGATAGAATGGAAATTGTACATGTGCATTTGAGTCCTCCTGCGTGCACATGAAAACAGGGACCCACGTTGCTCAATTAATCTATAAATGTAACAGGAAAGCTTAAAGTGTTTTTTTATAGTAACAGGAAATGATTCAAATGTGTGCGTCCTGCAAAGGCAATCCCTTTGTGACTAAAGAATGACGATGCCAGTTTAACTTCACAGTAGTTATTTTTTGTCTTGAAATCTTCCTGGAGCTGGTCCTGGATGATGGATCACCATCCAGCTGCAGGAAGCTCCACAGCGGTGGAATAGTGTCCTTAAAACACGGGGAAGAACTTTAATTTAGTCATTTTTCCAGTGTGAACGCACTACAATGATCTTAACCTGCCTAGAATTAGTGCATAATATAGAGCCGTGACTCGGCCGATTCAGAAAATCTTTATTAACGATGTAAACTTGTCTTGAAACGTTGCCGTCGTCATGATGCAAAAACCTGAAAGAGAGGTTTGATGGGGAAACATTTGTTTTCTTGATTCTGGTGTTTTGTTTCCTGAAAATGTGACTCTTTATTTTCCAGAGGAGGAGCGAGGTCAGAAGAGGAAAAGGGAACTGGATGAAGAAGGAGAGGAGGATGAAGATGATTGAGAGTCCTCATGAAGCTAAGTTGTGAACTGTTTTAACCCTGTATCTCCCAGTCACCTCCCAACAACCCCATGTATTTCTTCCCCCAGTTTCATATTGCAGTAGGAGTGGTTTTTGTTATTGGCCAGTCAGGTAGATGGGGTTGTCTGGAGAAATAAGTTAAATTTCTGTACCTTTGATGCTCCCGTGTTCAAGTCTTTACTGTCCACTTTTGACTGCTTTGTGGACACCAGTTTTGTATTATCAAATAATAGCAAAGATAAACCTTTTTAAGAAGTTTTTGTTTTCTCACTGTTTGTGTAAGACCAGTTTCTGATGACTTCTGTATTTTAAGAAACCCCCCCTCCCCCCTTAAAAAAAAAAAAAAACCCAAAATGAAACAAAAAAAAGAGTGCATGTCTAATACATTTTAAAGTCAACTACTGGATTTCATGTATGGCTGTCCTCTCCTCGTCTTAAACTTATTTTTTTGCATTGTACGTTTTTGTTTTTGTTTTTGTTTTAATGTAAGTTATGTGTTTGTAGTGTCACCAGTATGCCAATACTCTCTGCTGTCCTGGTGTGAAACTTCTGTCTGAACATGCACAGTGTGACCCTCACAGGGCATATTTTTAAATCATAGCAAAAAAATGTCTGCCCTTGTCAAAGCCGCTCCTCCTCCTTAAACCCTCAGCTTTGATAGTTCGGAAATTACGTGTTCTTGTAAATAATGACCAAATCTATTTTTTTGTATTCTCTTTGATGACGGCAGACATTGAACAGACAACTGAGGTGAAACTATGAACTGTAATAAGATATTAAATATGTATGCTGCTTTATCTAAAATACGCAGTGTGAAATTTCTTGAATTTGAAGATAACTTTGTATGCATAATCTTTCCATAAAGAGAAATGTTCAACATCAGAGCTCATTATTGCTTTTTCCATGTTTTCTTTTCTGTGACATACAGTTGGCAATGTTTGAATTTGTGGTGGTAGTGTAGAGAAGTAATTGATATAAATGGAGGTTACAATTGCAACTTATGTGCATTGAAAATGTATCGTTTCAAAGTGTAAACTCTGGAAAAAGGTCAGTTATTTGAACTTTGTTTTCACTAGTATACGCGATGGTCAAATTGGCCTACCTCAGTGATTTTTTCACTCTGTTAAATCCACTGTCATCAGCCGAATTCTGTTTCTTTTTCCCTCCCATTCACTTCAATAAATCCCTTTTATATATGTTTTGAAGTTTGTGGTCCTTGTATAACAACAGATTTCCAGTTTAACGTCATCACTTATTGATGACAGTCTGTTTTTTTTTGTTTTTTTTTTTATCCACAAATAAAACCAATCCCAGATACATGTGTAAACTGAGATGTGACACTGTACGCTCCACATTATATGTACACAAAGACCAAACAGAACAAACATAAGCTGGGGTTTACTTGTTTCCCAAAAAAAGTTCATCTGGTTCAGTGCCAAAACAAATTTGGAGGTATTGCCATGGTAACACTAGTCAGTCAAATCCAAAATGCCATCCAATAATTACACAAAGTGAGTTTCAGTCATTTTTCAAAAGCCTTCTCCACCTTGTTACCCTACCTTCCCAAAAATAATCAGTCAAGTGGTTGATTTTAGTCGTCGGTGCATGAGACTACATGAGACGACACAACTCCAGCTGCGACTTCACCTGTGGCCCATCAGTCACCGGTAGATCCTTTATCCCCTTCTCTACTTTCATTGTAGCCGTTTTATTTTTCCTGGTGGAGACGTGCATTTACCTTTAATGTCTCGGTGGTTCAAGTCTACATTAAAAAGGGTAGTTTTTCTTCTGATTGTTTTAACTGAAGCTATAAAGCTCTGGACCCTTCATGCACCTGCTGTGATGTGATCAGGGAAGACTTGTGACCTTCAGTCTTTAACTTACTTTTGACTCACTCGGGGAACAAATTCCAGTCTTGTCACGCACGCAGTGGATTCAACCTTTTTCCTTTTCTCAGTCCATGAAGAGCAGAATCAGTAATAAACACCAGGCTGAATGTGATTGGGCTCGGATTAAAAAGACACACGGTATGTTCAGAAGAATCTTTTTGGTACCTGCTTGAACCTGGCTGTCATTATGGAGCCAATCAAATGTTAATCCGGTGCCCACTTCTCTTCAATTTCAGACTAGAGGGAAAAATAAAGCCGTTTGATGGTACAAGTGGAGAAGGAGAGGCAAATGACCTTGAGTCTCGAGCAAAATTACACATCTACGGTAAACACGTCTCAGTAATAGTAATATACTTGGATTAAATGAAAAGGGATGGTTATTATTACAGTTTTCTGTAATGTTAGGAATAGGCAAGAGTATATTTCCATACCTTATCTCAAGTTATGTTGTTGGAGTCAAACTAATACCATCGAAGGTACAGCTTCACACAAATCTTGCACCATTTCAACCGGAAACATTCAGCAAAATCTATCAAGCATCACAATCATTACTTTGCGCAGCCACATCATCCAAAAAAAAAAAAAAAATGGGATTAACAAATATACATGTTATTAGCTAAAAAGGTAAAACGTGACAAATAAATAGAAGCAAATATACATTATCGCCCACCCTCAAAATTAGCCCTAAAAAACCAATAACAGCCTGCGAAGCTTCCCTTGAGACTACATTGGAGTAGTTACGCAAGTCCACCACCTCTGGATCCATGTGTCCCCCAGCTGCTTTCCCACTATTTAAAAAAAAAATAAAAAATACTTGTAAGTGAATGAACTATCCATCCCTTGGGAAGAGATTTGGTTTGCTATGTGACAGTGTGGTGAAGTCAATTTACAGCCAACATTTGTAGGTGAGAAAAGATGTGGCGGGAAAAGCAGCTCTATGGAAAAACATGATCCACGTGTCCGAACGCTCTTCTGGTGCAAAACTACTTCACGTCAGCCAGACGATTCGATTCTGAGATGATGTTGCAGCTCGCTGCAAGCCGTGTCTGCAGCAGGGTGTAAGGTCTTTGGGGAAGGAAAACAGGAGCCAGTGACAGTCTTTGTATCCTCCAGTTTTGCCCCGACAAAAAGGCATAGTGATAACAAACACCTCGGTGGTCTGGCCGAAAATATGCAATAATTGATCGTAACACTTGAGAGTATGCTAGAGCAAGAGGATTAATTTATAAAAACAGATAATACCAAAATTGACTGGATCTCAAATTTCCCCTATTATTGATTTCATGTTAAGGTGGCGATCCATGAACACTGCCTTGCCTCTATTACTTATCACATTTTTCATTATTACAATTCCCCAGTAACTGCACCAGCTAAGACATAATCCAACAGTTATCATTACTATTGTGTGCACTATGCGGGGCAGCAGAAATCAAGTTATGATATAAAGACAAAAAATAAAAATAAAAAAAAAGCGCAGTGGGAGGGCTCAGGAGCTTGTTGGAGGTCAGAACTGGGTGGAGGGGGTGGGAGGGGGCAAAGGAAGCAGCTTTGCCAGTCCAGGAGGCTGAGAGGTCAGACGTTGTTGGGGCTAACGTTCTTCAGGTTGTTGAGCTCCAGCTCCAGTTGGCGTATTCGCACATCCTTGGTGGTCAGCTCCTCCTTCAGCCGCCGGAGCTCATCCTGCTGCCGGAAGAACATCCGCAGTAGCTTCGTATGAAAAAAACAAAACAAAAACAAAACACTCACACATGGGAGATCCTGCATGTGACAAATACACTTTCACACAAGCAAGGAGCTGAGAATAAAGAGGAAATTTGCATAATGTAGAGTGAAGGGGGGGGGGCATTTTGTAGTCACTGGAAAGTTTGCAGTCGACAAAACTATCTCCCCTCAAGGTGCATTTAGTAGCTTTATTGGATCATATCACACCGTTATATTACATAACATTATATATATTAACAGTATATTTGTTATCCAAAGCTACAGAACAGCTGCTGAATGTATCTTGGGGTGAGATTAAACTAAGTAATGCTGTTAGTCTGACAAATCAATGTTGATTCGAGGCCCGCTAACACGCCTTTTTCCAGACCTACTTTTTTCTTTCTTATGCTCAATCAGTCTGATAATTTATCAAACTCTCCACACGATCAAATGACTCCATGAATCCAATCAGCCAGTCTTGCTCTCTGTCTCTTCATCTTGCTATTAATTTATTGAATTTGCAACCCAACTCCCACAACACACAAAGAAATGGCAGCACGATATTTAGTATATCGGTGCCATAACTTCATCGTTCAATTTGCTACTGGTGTTTATTTACCACATTATTATTTTTAATATTCCGACTCCTTAAGAGCTTGTGAAACTATTTTCTAATCCTGGTTCTAACACAGTTTCATTCACATTAGCTCTTCACATACCTCGTTCTCTGTCCTGGGTGGTACGTTCTCAAGCAGGTCGATCCCATTCACCACCACACTCTTCTTTTCCTTCACTGGGGCCTTGAACACTAACTGGTTTGGCCGGTGGTAACCGTCCTTCAGGGACATCAAGACCGGGTCTGTTTGCACAAAGGAGCAGAAACACTCCTAAGCATATGAAACCCAACACAATGCACAAAGAGGCTTAAGTCCTTCACAGATCTCCACAGGGAATCTATTATTCCTCCGTGTTGGACTTGGTGTGTCCAACAAACTCCTATAATCTTTTTTTTGTCATCTACACACTGCTCTGCATACTGGAGTCTGCAGTTTCTCATTAAATGCTATCACAGATTTATAAAGTTTGGTAAACATTAACTGATCTCTGAGTTTGGTGGTTATTTTAAGAGAAAGGGATAAAAAAAAAAAAGAATATCCTCTAGTTTTAATTTGCCTAGGAGTCATAGCCAACACTCTGTATGACAACTGTGAATCTGACAAACATCGTAATTGGATTGGATGAATGGAAATTACAGTTGGAGGCGTCAAAAGGAAGCAGGTACTTTTCTCTGTTTATTGTGGGATTGTTCTTTTGTTTCTCCCTTTTGGAAACAAGCAATCAGAAATACTGGAGAGTGGTTTCACAAACCGCTGCCAGAATCTTCCCATCTGTGTTTATAGGGAGACATGTCTCTCCCACCACCAGGTAGATCCAAACGAAAATTTGCATTTGCACTGGCAGGCTTTGTTGTTGCTGGTGTTTCAAGGATTCTTCTCAGCCATTGCAAGAGTGAAAAATTAACAATGGACATCCTCATTTGAATCTTTAATCTCAAGGACTAATAATTATCAAGCCACAAGCATAACAGAATAAATATTCATACTTTTACTTACTACTTTTTATAATGAGAATGTGCTGCCCATTTTATGTTGTGTTCATGCGGTGTCGTCTTTTTTGTCTTTGTTGCTCACGTTGGCTCGTTGCATTGTGTTTGTTCTCTATTGGAAAACGGTAGCAGGCTGGTCGTGAAGAATGAAGGTGATGAGGTGAAACAAAACAGACTACCTCTTGCACTCACTGTTCAATTGGCTGATGTTGTCATTTAAAGACCCCATGAGATGCGCATCAGAGCCCAGTTCATGTCATGTGATGTTGATTAAAAGAAAATGTCTGTGGGAGTTTGCACCATGTTGGTGACAATACAAAAGCCATATGTTCAGTGACAGTGCGCGAAGAGTTGGCAGTGAAGAGCAAAACAAAGTAAAGACACAGTGATTGGATGTGACCTTTCATTACCCTGCTTTACTTTTACCGTAGCTCTGTTTTTCAATATCTGTCATGCCAAAGAAATGAGTTCCAGCACGTCGCATCAGTCTCACAAGTTATTCCCATCAGCAAATGCCATTATATTCTGGTATTCCACTAAAATCTTTGCATAACACGGTTTTATATTCGGCAAAAAGTGGTAGAACGTTTTTTTTTAATCATCATAAACCACCAAAGGAGCATTAGCCAATCCAGTGTGTCTAACGTGCTGTTTACCTCTATCAATGCCGCTCAGCCATTCAGTGGCGGACAGCGCAGGTTCTGTTCCCGCCGTCATGGGGTAGATGTCCTCCTGGTATGTGTCCGACTGTGAACCAGGAAACACCACATACGTTCTTGTTTTATCAATTACATGTGGCATAGCTGATTATGTAAACGTCTACAAGGGGAAAGAGGTTCTATCATGGTGTCTTAAAGAGATTTATTTGCCTTAAAGCATAAAATGTCAAACCAATGACTGAAAAAGGATCTCAACATTATCAACTTTTACTTTTACTTTTAAATTCAGACAAAAAAAAAAAAAACAACAACAACTTTTTAACTCATTATGTGCCGGATAAATATAATGTATACCAGAAACGATTAATAACGAGAGTTGACTCAGTGATTTAGTTCCCACTCACCCTCCTCGGCACGATCATTGAAATGGGCTCAATCAAACCCTTCAGGGTGACTAGCTTGTAGAAGCGGTACACCTCACAGGCTGACACGTCCAGCCCGTGCTTTGGCATCACACCTGCGGATGAGAACAGAAACGCGTGAAGACACAACGTGAAGTCCACAGTTAGGATCTCTCTGCTCTCATTGGGTGAGATCATATATACCGCTGATCAACAGGTGACTTACCTAGGCCTTTCTGTGGGGCCGGGGACCGAAACTCCATTAGGTATTGGAGGTACGGCTTTTCCGTGGTAATCTCAAAGTAACGGATGTTGCCGTCCCCCTGCCAAGACACCAGAATGTGGCAATTACAACCCAAAGTAGTAGCTCTTGAAAGGTGTTTTTCTTATATTACAGACAACAATTCAAAAGGCATGTAAACCTTACAAAGCTTGTCCCAGTAGTTTTTAATTTAGACCTCCCAATGTAGTAATATAAGGGGAAGGTGTGACTTTACATCTTAAAGCAGACACAATACCTGATGTGAAACCACCAATCCATAAATTGAATGACATCCTGCAAATTGTTCTCACTTACAGAGAACATTATTATGGATAAATGTCCCTGTACTTGATCAGGTGTCTGTCATTGGAAATAAAACACAAAAAACAGATTAGTCGTCTGACCGAGCTGTGGCCAGGCGAAAAATGGCTCTGTGTAAAATACAACAAAATAATACGTAGAAATGATAAGATACATCTTTATCATCTCCTCCTTTTTTTTGCAGTTTTAGTTTAGTTGATCTGATTATTTATTACCATTAATTATGTATGCTTCATGCTCTTTAACTCAAAAACATCCCATGATGTGTACAGAGTTGCCACACTAATAGTAGATGAAGGTCAAAAGACTAAGTGAAGACCCACGATTTCTGCCTTTTCATTTTCCAACTTTATAGTATGTAAAACTATGATGTGAGAAATATTACTTTTCACATGCAGTGCAGTAAATCGGAGGAACATTAAGAGTCGGTTCTAACCTTGCCTGCCAGGTACAACATGTGTGTGTCAGCATCGTAGAAGGGAAACAACAGTCCTGAGAGGCCGTCTATGTCCTCCTCTACAATTGGCATGGCCAAATCCTCCTGGGAAGAGCAACACACACACACACACACACACACACACACACACACGGGGAATTAAACACACACACTAGCTCCGCCCACTCTGGCATTAAAGGCGCAAGCCATATGGAGGTGTTGCCTGACCTGATCCCAGAGAGCGATCTGCCGGGTGTTCCAGCGAGAAACCCCCGTGGTGAGCAGCCGCTTCATGTTGCCCAGGAACACCACTCGGTTTACACGGTGGTTCTTACAACTGGCTTGCTGATAGGGCAACACACAAAAGATAGAAAGAAGCTTTGACGCTACATACACAGAGCACGGATCCCTCAAAGATCAGTGGCATCAAGTACGATATGATTGCTTATAGTTTTATAGTTGGTCCAAGTCTTAGTGTTGTATACAAGCATAAATAATAATCATATACTTCCTGCACAGTCAACAACACGACTCTGTTGGAAACTTTGAACATAAATCTGTATTTCAGGAACAGAACATTTTCATGATTTGTCCCATTCTCTTTTCCTGTACCTGCTGCCTCGTCTTGATCACCTCCACTTAGTGCAGCAGGGGAGCAGCACATGGGTCTAATCAAAAACCATTTCAGGGTGATCAGGCAGCAAGATCACCAAGGTCAAACATTTAGAGGTTGAGTGGTGCGGGGCAGGATTTTTTTTCTTTAGCAGAAGTGATTATCTTAAAGGGCCTATTTGTTTTCTCTGCCGCTGAACGTGGTTTCTTGTCGGAAGCGGATGGTGGTGATTGTGGCTTGACAAAAGCTTCAGCCATCATTGTCTTTATAGTACGTAATAAGTCGTAATATGTTCCTCTGAGCAGCGGTATGTGTTCAGGTTAGATTTGAGGCTATCGGATAGAGACGTGGTGGGCGGGGGCTAACTGGTTAGCGTGCTTCAGTGGCAGAAAAGACGTGATAGAGATAAGAATTAACATTGCTGTTGGTTTCCACTTCTGGAGACACGTGTTGGTGCGTAAAGGAAGGAAGTTTGATGCTGAACTCACAGCGTTTTTTCTAGAACTGGTAGTAAACAGCTGTTAATGCTAATATTAGCAATGTAGCAATAGCCAAACTTAAATAGCTCCTTTAAAAGTTAACGAGTAAACTCCTAAATATCGGCACTAGAAACTGAATTAGTGGGAAAATTTAATGGAGCTTAAATCTCTGTATCTCATTACACCATATGTGACCGCTCAATATCTCATTTTCCAAACAATGGGCATGAACCTGCTGCTATAACAGCCTCCACTCTTCTGGGGATGCAGAAATTTGTTCCCATTCGGTCACAAGAGCATTAGAAAGGTCGAACACTGAAGATTCAGTTCATCCCAAAGGTGTTGGAGGTCAGGGCCGCACAGTTCTTCCTCACCAAACGTTTATGGACGCTGCTTTGTGCACTGGGGAACTATTTGCAAACTATTGTCAGAAAATATCACGAGCTGTAGCATTAGGGGGGGAGATTAAGATTTTCTTTAATTGAAATTCCCCTTCCTTATCAATGAAAAACATCGTTTTAAATCCCTGTGGTGAATGAAAAGGTTCAGTAGAAACTGAGTCGTGTCATTCAGTGAAAAAGATATTTTAAAGTCTTACAGTTGTTCACACAATGCCCATGCACACTCCCTCTAACCTGAAGGACTCTCCCGGAGCGTGGCTCAATGACTCGCAGCTTCTTGTCTTTGCAGCTGGTGGCCAACAGGCTGCCGTCTGTGTTGAAGGACATGCTGAGGATGACGTCAGTGTGACAGTCGATCATCTTCACCGGTTCTCCGATCTCCAGGTTCCAGATCAGGATCTGACACAGTCGGGAAAGATTGTTTGGGTGGAGCTGTTAGATGGCTGCGGTGCTTGGATCAATGGTGTGATCATGCTGTGAGGCTGTGAATGAAATTTGACTTTGGCCTTTGTGTGCCACCGCGGACACATCAATCTCTGATGATATCCAAGGTGAAATAAGAAACATGTCTCATGGTTGCAAAAGAGCCGAGCAGTGGAAATCAGGCCTGTTGAGGGGCTGAAACAAATAATTATTTTCATGATCAATTACTTTGTCTATTAGTGGTTTGGTAAATGTATTAATCTATAAATATTTGCTTGTTAAATGATGTAAACAATTCATCATCTAACCAAATTGTTATCTTGGATTTATCTGTAGATCAACTTATTTAATCCAACACAATTGCATATCACAAAAAATACTTTCAACACTCCAAAGTATCTCCTGAAAAGAGCTAAATAAGACTCTCTGGGAACATTTCCTTCAACCTGCGTTTAATAAAAGTGAAACCTCAGATTGCCAGTCTATGTACTGTGTCAAGTCAAGCTCGTTGTGTTACTGATGTGGTACCTTGTAGTCATAGCCGGCGCTGAAGAGGATGCCGCTGCTGGTGGGATGCCACTCGATGAGACCCACCCGTCTGCTGTGACCGTACAGCTCCAGCACCGCCTCCGTCATGTTGCGCCTCAGACCACCGTCTGGGATCTCCCATACTCGCACCTGCCACGTTCACAAACACCCGCCACATATAAAATGAGTACGCAGCCCACCATCGTGCAGCAGGCACACAGAACACAGATTTTTAAAGGCATTCTTTCATTTTTATAGCACAGGTTAATAGGTGAATTATATTATTCTGTCAGGGGCCACCATGTGTTTTTTTATAAGTCATTGCTATGAACTGCAAAACACAATTAGTAGCAGCTAGAGATCCTTCTGATCAAAAATACCACATGCTATCAATGTAGCCCATTGCATTAGGATTAGAGTGGATTACAGCTATGGCCAGAGGCTCTGTGTTGGACCAGAGGAGATTATCCTTCAACAAGTGAAAGTACTATACAGGACACAGTGCTACAGTGGCTCAGTACAGTAATGTAACAGGTGTATGCACTGGAGAGAGAGAAAAAAGGCCTGCAGGGGTCTTAGTATTGCTCATGATACATGTGAGATTAAGTGTGTTAGTGATTGAGATTTGATGTTGTGTCTAATCTCACGTTATATAGTCAGTTACTCAACAGCAGACAGCAGATTCATGTGTTGCTCAAAGGCATTTCACATCTGTCATTTGCCATTTTCAGGCCACTGGCGCACAACAACAACAACAACAACAACAACAACAACAACATCGACCAGAGCGGCTGCCAGCCAACATCCAATCACAAGCTCGTGTCCGGTGCAAACTCTGTGGATCAGCGACCCTCTGGCCATAATGAGCCGATGACCTCTTTGCCTTCTGGGCCAGTGACTGTCAACCCCAGCATCTAACAAACACATGATTTCACAGATACAGTACGTGTTTCACATCTTCACGAGTCATCACGCCATACCTTACCCTCTGCAACCTGTCGGGATAAAAAAAACAGCCTAGGAAGAAGAAGAAGAAGAAGAAGAATGTAGGTCACTTGCCGAGGTGTCCTCAGAGCAGGAGGCAACGATGTTTTCAAAGAAGGGATTCCACTTGATATCCAGCACATTGCCTTGGTGGCCACACACTTTCGGGTAATGAGAGTCCAGACGGCCAGCCTGAAGCAGAGAGACAATATAATACAATATTTTACACTTACTTTTTCTGTTTTGGGATACCACACACATAGATGAAAGAAACAAAAATATCTCACGTCTATATACCGAGTTCACTTTTTGAAAACGCTTCACGCTTCAGCACAGCAGAAGTCAGCACAGACTAAACTGCGCATCACTTCTCATTGCTTTGACACTAAATGCTTTCAAGGCTGAATCATTTTCGTTACTGGATGGGTTTACAGCCCATCCCAGAGTGGTGCCACTTTCCCTTCCACCCGACTCTCCACTCCTCATCCCCACAGAGGAATTCTTTTCCTCATGGAGGTGGAAACTTAACGACCACCAGCCACATGCTCAGATCTGCTTCTTACACACAATGGATGCTGCATATCTGCAGAAGATTGCCAGGGATGTGTCAGGCAGAAGAAAGATTGAAGAGGTGAACATGAAGTGTGATGCTGATGAGAACTTGTGGCCAAATGCAGAACACACAGTTCGCAAGCACGTATAGATAAGTACAGTTTTGTGCTGCATTATTGGAAATACTTTCATTTCATTTTGTACACTCAGAATTACTGTCTGACATTTACTGTCAACGGGCTCAACCCATGGATCATGTCAAATAAATAAATAGAATTAAACAGAAGGTCCTTCAAAGACATGAGAAGTAAATATTGTAATGCTACCAGTTGTTCATGTTTTTTAGGTCAGTGTGTTCTGACTGACGGAAAGTTTTCTTGTTGAAAGAAAAATGTTGTCAGTGATGATCTTGAAATATGGATGAAGTGTTTCGGTTGTCTTGGTGCACTTTGGACGTGACGTTAGCTGTTGTGCTGAGTCGGCAGAGAGAACTGTGTGAAAAGTTTTTTCAAAAGAAGAGAAATGTGTTTCCCTCTGTTCTATCGATCTGTTGTTCTGTGTGCTGCACCATCAATCAGACATTATCAATTAATGCTGCTGGGACTTGAATTGAGTAAAATAGAATAGATGTGTGCGTCAAAAAATGATAGGAATTTATCAAATGCATCTGTGTTAAAACAGCATGTGTCACAAAAGACTGTAAATTACATAAAACAATAGTAGAAAAGAACCAAAACCTAATAAGATAGATATTATTGGATACAAGTAATGAATTATCTGAATAGTTTTGTTTCACCGCTGATGGTGAAACAAAACTATTCTTAGATGTTAGTGATGTGAACATGAAAAACTAATATAACACAATCCAAGTGAAATCACATCAGAGAGACGACTGAACAAGAACGAAACAGAGCTGGTTATTGCACAGGGACGTCTGAGGCGCGATGCTGTTGGTGCAATAACCCACAGAGTCCACAGAGGGGCGCTGGCTCATAACAACAGAGGACAGAAACCTTTTACTGTCTGTCATGATGTCATGAATGTTTGATGTCACTTCAATCCACTGACCTCTTTTTTTTTTTTTTTTATTTCCCCAGAGATTTGTTGAGGAGTGTTCGCCCATGCATCAGTGAAATCCTGCGTGTGTGTGTGTGTGTGTGCGTGCGTGTGTGTGTGCACGTGTCCTCACTGACCCATGAAGATTCACTTCAGATGCATTATCAAGCCTGAACAAAACTTCCTTTCAATTATAAATTGTTTACTATTTTCAGTAAAGTCCTGTATCAGCAGAATCTCTGCACCTTCGCCCTCAAGCAGAGAAAATTCATGACTTTTCAAACTGCCTGTCAGTATGTGACATTTCATAGCAGCATCAACTTATTAGCCAGCATTTATCCATATTGATCAATCTTAGCTTGGCACTATTGACACGTTAGATAACTAGCACTAAGACGACATAAAGTTGGTCTCAAATTCTGAGCCACAATTCAGATTAATATAACCTCAGCAACATAATAGATACTTAATATCTTTATAATGCTACAATTGTGGCTAAGCAAGAAGGCGAAAGCTAACACACTGCCGAACATACTGAATGCTTTGCTAATAAGATAAGGAACAGATGCCAAAACCAATAGAAGCCAACGTCTGCCAAAACTTGACAACGGTGAAGTGAGACATCAATTCAATATCAATATGAGAGAAAACAAAACAAGGACACGGTGGGACGGAGCGACACAGAATGATCCATTAACGGAACAAACTGAAGACACATTATAAGATTTCAGCAGTGATGGAGACCAGCAGGGTAACAACATGAGATATGAAGGAGTTTCTTGAAGGGGAAGTGGGTGAAAGTTTTCGCTGAAGGCTCTTTGACGTCACTCTGTTATACCTTCCATGTAACTTTGGACTATCTCGCTATATAGTCACATGGAAACTCAGATTTGCTCACACGTGTGTGGATGTAAACTTTCAGGAAAGTATGAAAAACTCCCTCCTCACTGCAAAATGTAAAAAAAAAAAAAAAGAAGAAGACAAGTCATGCTAACACAAGTTGTGATGACGAGCTTCTTCTATAATTGTTACAATGACTGGGAGGTTTTAACACGACCTAAAAACATTAATAACACCGGATCTGAGGGACTCTTTATTTAGGTGGAACTAATTACCTGCAAAGAAATGATGTCTGATGGGAACCACGGGGTCCCGAGGAGCCCATGAGGTATTATGAGGAAATCAGAAATCATAAAAGGAACATGAAATTAATAAAACTAAAGGCTCTTTCCAGCTTGGATCTCACATACTTTAGTGTCTCCACCTCTACACCTCTCCCACAGAATAACAAAAAATTAAGAAAATTATTTTTAAAAAACCAGCTGCTGTCAGCTCACGTTTATCCGGACGAACTGGCAGGAAACGACACAGACCAACTTTAGGCCTCGTTGTCTTTCTGCAGCTCATTTCCTGAGACTGCTAAACCCTGCTGGTGACACACAGATGTGCTGGTGGTGTCCCAACGGCTCCAGCACACCAGAGACAGCGCACCAGAGACTGTGATTGCTACCAACTCTTATTGATCTGAACTACTCAATAAATCTTTACTAATGTGGCTTACCCCTGCTGCTCTGTGATTTCTGTATTACTACAACCTACTCCGAACAGCAGACATTCAGGAGATTAATGTTTTGAAAATATAATGCGGCTCCTCGGGCTGTAATGTGGAATCATGTTTGAATTAGAGAGCAGGAGGAACTGAACGAGTAATCTTGTTTTAGCCGTATGAGTCTGTAATTTTATTTCTTCCTTTTCCATTTCAAGTATAAATCTTAGCAGAAGATTTACTGCAGAATATTCTTTGGCATATTCTCCCATATGGCCATTGAACTAAAGAACAACATGCTGAGTCATGCTTAGTAAGTGAAGTGAATCCAGTTTTCTGCTGCTGCGGTTTATCTCATGTTAATGGTCTAATGCCTGATCCTGGTGCTTTTCTTCTTTCTTTCTTTTTTTTTTTTTTGAAAATGCACGTCAGCTCTGCCTGCAGTGTTTGGACAGTCAGGTGATCTGGTCACTATCACTGGATCACTGGCGCATTTGTTTTCACTCTACAGTAGGACCTTGTTTAGAGTGACGTCCCGCTAGATTGATAGTTCAGCTTAATGGTCATAATACTGTAGCAAAGTGATGCCCCTGTTTGTGAATATGAGCATTGTCTATTTGTTGGAAATACTGTTTCTTTTCATAAATGCCAACAACGTGTGCACTGTAAATACTGTGGGTGGTTTTAGAATAGGAATCTATACATATAGCATACAACATATTAGAGTTATAATATTTAAGGTATATTTAAGGTAAGAGATATTAGCGTGCAGAACAATAGGCTGCAACTAACAGTTATTTTTATCACTGATTAATTGTTTGTTCGGTAAAATATAAGAAAATAGAAAAAGAAAACGCCCATCACAACATCACAGAAGACATGGTGACATGTACAAATGACTAGTTTCTTCAAAACCTGAAGATCTTTTGTTCACTTTTGTCGACAAATAACGGCAGTAAATCCTAAAACCTTAAAAGCTGGAACCAAAGATTTGATCAGATTAGATACTTTATGTTTGAAAAGTGACTTTTACAGATTTTACATGATCAAAATAGTTGTTTTCCTGTTGATCAACTAATTGATTACTGAACTAATTGTTTAAACTCTATTCTATAATAATCTACTGATTCACACACCTCAGTGTGCTGCACACACTCCACTGTATGATCCATAGTAATAGTAGTAAATCTACAGTACAGTACAGTAGTAGTAGTAGTAGTAGTAGTAGTAGTAGTAGTAGTAGTAGTAGTAGTAGTGATTCCAAAAGCACCACACCCTCTGCACTCTCTTTCTTTGTCTGAGGCGATGAAGAGGTGTTTGTGACCTTATGTGTCATCTCCTTGGCGGGGCTCTGTGACAGGTGGTGCCAGCGGTAGTCCTTCCACTCGCTAGTGGCATCGTCTGGGACTAACCATATGGCCGTCTCGCCGGCTGTCATCGTAATAAGTCTGCCATGCTCACACCTCGCCATTAGACATACCCACCACAGATTTAGTTTTTTTTTTTGTCTAATGGAAACAGGAGGAGCTCAATTTAAATGTTCACTAGTCTAATAGTGACTTCAGTAAAGAGGCTTTTTGATTTCATTTATTGCTGATATTTTCAACCTTGTTTGAAACCTCAGTCTCTCCTGTCTTTGTCATTTTTCTACCTGTTCTCAGTGATCTGATACACACTCTGACTGCTTCTGCTGATGGCGTCTACTAAACAGGACAGACAGCTATTGATTTTGTCTAAAGTGTGACTGGTGACATCACTCTGCGTAACATGCCTCCTTCTAATTAAGATTTAACTCCATTCATTGATTCAGCAGTTTGGTTTTAGTTTTTAGATAAACTACTTTTCATTCCCACGGCTGAAGCCTTAACGTCACACACTTTGCATTTAGCAGAATGTGCACTGTTTGCAGAACCTTGAGAAATACACTTTAAATTCACGCCATGTATGATCTTTTAAAGATGAAGCCTTTTCAGCATAAACAGTAACACAGCTCCTTATGTGGTGCCGTAAAGAACGCAAGGCCCCTTCAACAAAATGAAATAAAATGGATAAGAGATGTTTTTACTGTTCATCCTTATGTTGACCGTCACTTAAGTTTGCTGATTTGTTGTTTTGATCAGAGGATCCTGCACGAAACAGCAGCCGCCATCTCACAGAGGCCGTCATCTGTGCTGCTGCTGACTATGATAAATGCCATTTCTGAACTCGTCAACTCAGCAGAAACCCCGGGAAATGCTAGAGTGCAATACTTTGACTCGCAGGAAATCGATCTAGTTATGGGCTTTGGACGAGTCATGGAAAGAGACATTACACAGCATGAAAGAGTTTCATTTTTTATTAGTTAGCCTGCTGTGGATGATTATATGCAAAAGGTATTTTTTTACCCTCTAAGAAGAGAAGATTACGTGATCAAAACACTCACAGACATCCACAAAATTACCACCTTAATTACCTTTTACTATCAGCAGAGTGAGAAATAAAACTGCTACTAATATTAGCTTTTCTTTTTTTGGTATTCACTGAACTAACTGGAAAAAAAGAACAACTCATTTCCTCAGTCCTGTCATTGACACAAACAGTATCCCCTATTTCTATCTTCCTCAGTGAATCCTGTATGATTAAATGATACTACACCGTTAAATTATATTACAGGAGTTACAAATAAGCCCCCGCATCTGAATCCTGCCCCTAAGACTTTCTTCTCCTTCTGTCTATGCAAGCAAACATGTATAAATGAACACTGTGCCAGCAAGTGTTACTTTCATTATGTGATGCTGTGCCACTCTCCTTCAAATTCAAAAGCTGTACACAAAGGAGATTCATAAACAAAGAGCGCTGCACGGTGCCTGCCTGCACTAAAAGGCACATCTCAGTGTAGGCAGACAAAATGAAAAAGACCCTCTCTTAAAGGAATTTATGAAAGGTTATATAAAGTGATGATGTGAGCCGTCTGCTGCTCCGTGTATAAAATGATAGAGCGTGGCAGCAGTGGACAGTGTGTGACTTCAGAGCTGCAGAGAATAATAAAAAAGACTGACATCATCGTAGCACTTCACACAAACTATCTAATTGCCTAAATTGCAGGGCACGCACACACACACACACACACACACACACACACAAACACAAACACACACACACACACAGCTAGTAGTCCGTCTTTTTCCACAGGATGATGTACAGTAAAATGTAGCTGAGGTCTCCCTGCTTCAGACAGCAGAGCTGCTCAGCCTACTGAATACTTCTTCTGCCTGATAACAGCTTGACTCGACCCCGCTCCGCAGCCAAGAGCTTTTCAAGTACCTTGGCAGAGTCGCTCTTAAAGAGGCAAAGCACTTTATGGTTTCTCAGACCTGCGGTGTTATTTATAAAGTGGAGTGAGATGCAAAGTACTGTACATCATAATCTCTTGGAAGAATAACTCCGATATTTGTGCTGCATTGCTGTTAATACAGTGGCACGTAAAAAAGAACACAACAATGATCGGCATCTAATGGGAAACGTTTGTATGGCCGACTGTACGAGCACCTCACGTTCATTACAGGCACGACATTTAGAAACTATTCTACACTCTCCCCGGTCAGTCCAGTATCACCAGCACAAATCAAATGTGAGCAAACAAGTTTAACAAGCCTCATCTTCCATAAACCAAATATCCGCAGTGTTGTATAATGAATAATTCAGCAAAAGCAATAAATCAGAACGTATTTGCTGAACGTGAAGAGTGAGAAAAAACACATTCCCCTTTTCCTACAATGCGAAAAAGAATTTCACACTTTCCAACGCAACAGTGCTCTTCTGTGGTATTTACGGGCAGTACCACCATGTCTTTATGTGTTGGCAACACAGCCCTGTCAGAACTTTGCCTTTAGATTCTGGCTTGAGGATTTAAGGCTGGCGTGCTTTGCAAGAATAGCAGGTAGGGGCCTGTGCTTCATTTATGTGGAAACATCTCTCCAACTTCAGATTTTATTATGCTGTGAAATAGCTGAAACCACAGAAATTTATAAAAGCTGCAGGAAAAAAATGTAAAGTCATATTACACAGCGACGTCCTGCAGTAAAGACTTTGACTCGCCGTGAGTCACTCAAGCTATGATCGTTAACTCTGCCAAACTTGATGCACACATCTCCTCCGGGAGTGCCGTTTACAGGGATGTACGGCAGACAAACAACCCCAGCAGCTGGTTGGCATAGCAACAAACAGCAAATCAAGAGTGTGACAGTGGCATTTACCTGGGACACAGGTATAACCATGAAAGAGCCCCCGCCGGCGCTCTCGGTGACGACCGCCACGAACTTGGAGTTGACGGCACAGAAGTGGTTGTCATGGACGTTCTTGGTGATGGGGACGCCGTCGTAGCAGTGCTCCCGGTTGGCCACTTTCCCGTAGACATTTCGAAACTTGGAGCTTCGGTAAGTCGGACGCCATGACATCTGAGAAGACAAACAAAATGTCGAGGATAAACATTTATACCTGATTTACTGCCATCACTTTATTTTGATAAGCGATTGATCATTTAGTGAATAAAATGTCCCAGAGCCGTCTGGGCAGATGACGTCTTCATTTTGCTTGTTTTGACCAAAAACAGCCCAAAGATATTCAATTTACAATGATATAAAACAGCAAAGACTCACATTTTACAGGTTGAGACCAGTGGATGTTTTTTTTGTATTTTTTCTTGATAAAATCATAAAACTTGAATTGGTTAATTGCTTCAGGACCTTTCTGTTAAACTTCTGTTTCAACACAATTCTTATTAGTCTCCATCAACATGTCCTCCTTTAAAACCTACTCAGTGTGTAGATTTACAAACCAAAACCTATAAAGGATAATGGCTTTAACGTGGATTCACCGTATTGAAACTAATGTCTCAGTGTGTGTAGACATTAATTGAGCAGCCAATTTGTCACTGTGTGCAGGCGGACTATAGAAAACACACCAGGATGAAACAGCCAAGCTAAACAAACAAATTACACTGCAAAGAAAAAATGATCTTGGTTCTTTAAGTATTCTACAGGCACTGGACATGATGTACTCAGAATAATGTTTGTTAAGGAAGAATCAGTGAAGTCTAATGGCACATTCTCATTTACCAAACCCACAGTTGCAGGGTGGGCTGCCCCATCTGTGCAGACATGATAACAGTCACACATGCAGTTGTGGGAAGTCGTCCAAACTGGTCATGGGAGTGAGACTTTTAAAGGGTGAAAATTGTTTTGACAGTACTTCTTGTTGCATCACACCCAGTGATTAATGTGTGAGGAAGGAAAGCATTAGTAAAGATCCTTCCAAAAAACACGAACAGAGACAAGACAACTGTATAAACCAGAACGATTTATCTCTGACTAGCACAGCACATCACAGTGTGCCTGTTGTCTGTCGCTCAGTTTTAGTCCGCAAGGATCCTGTGGAACAGAGAGGCAGCCATTGTTTGCAGCCACTACACACAACAAAAGAGAAGTGGTTATGTTTGACTCAAGACGCTCCTTTTGTCCGTCACTTCACCACAAGAATGCACTGACGGAGCTCTTCATTTTTGGCAGGAACTGGCTCCACTCTGCGTAATGACTGAAAGGTTGACTCAGTCGCAGGAAGTGGATGTCAAATGACCTTTGTCCCATAAGGAGAGAAGTTGTGGGAATTTCTCATGAATGAATACAGCGACACTTTAGGAAATTTTCTGAAACCAGATCTGTTAATGAGCACAGTGTCAGTGACACGATCTATGGAGACTATATCACTTCACTAAAGGAACTGGATGATTCTTGTCAGATCAGTAGCAGCAATGTCGGATGACATCAGGCAATCCTCTATTCAGCATTGTTCCTCGGATGCGGAGGGGAACTGTGGGGGGCGAGTGGGTGGGGGTGGGAGTGGTGTGCGCATGCAAACAGAAACATCCCTTTGACCATGCTGCAGCCATTGTCTTTCCCTGTCCTTTCTCGTCTCAAACCAGACTGGACAAATGTTAAGTGTGGGTGATCTCTTTGGCCTCTCTTCAGCACGTAACATGAGGTAACTGTAGTGACCGTGCTGCAGTGTTACAGTGCTGCTGCTCTTCCAGAATATTAAACATATAGCGCAACACCAGGTTTTTTTTTTTTTTATCATGTGTGTGTGTATGTGTTTTTAAAATTTTACATATAGTTTATATGATGAGTTTAGAAAATATGATGCATTCATAATAGATGTAACTACTTGTGGTGGCTATTTCTCCACAATCAAACAAACAGACGTGAGTCTACTGTGAGCTGGTCATATGAAGCATATAAACGATTCGCCCCCATGCCATTCAAATCCCGATCTGCTCTGAAGCCATGTCTGTATGAGTGGCATAATGGCGGCTTGTTAAAGAATTAATGCAGAACAGAAGAGCGGCAGAAAGTGGCCTGAGGGAGGTTTAGGGGCGAGGGGAAAGAGGAGACTCGTCTGCTTTGAGCTCTCTTTACAAGGATGCTCATTCATTGGTCACTGGCGTATGGCACAGAGAGGATGTCTGTCAGTGTGTGTTTGTGTCTTTCTTATCTCACGAGTGTTTGCAGCAGAGGAACACACACACACACACGCGCGCGCACACACACACACGCGCGCGCGCGCGCACACACACACACACACACACACACACACACACACACACACAGAGTCAGTGAGCAGAAAAACATACAGAAAAACACTGACTTTGTATCGAGCAACAGAGATCACAAGACTCGTGTGTTATGAGTGTGATTCCCTCTGGTCTTCACAGTATGAGGCCTTTTCAACTTTACAGTTGTTGTGTTTTTCTCATTTTTTTCATATTTTGACCATTTAAATATTTATTTGCAAAGTTTGACCCTTTCATTCCTTCTCTACATCACATATCTGAACAGCACTCTAATGTCCTCATAGTCACCTTATTGAAAATGTCAGCTTACCTTACCAGCGTCCTCACAGTGACACTACGGTCACAGTGTCCCTGCGGCCTTCTCAGTTTGCAAACATCCACCCTCCTTTCTAAGCACGCCGCCAGGATCTCTGCTCTTCCTTCCTTCCTTTCCCTTCAAATCCAAGCAGGCGGCATGTGTGCGCTCTACCTCCTTCTCTCTCATGTTTTTTCCCCCCTCCCCTTTAAACTCTGTCTTCCCACCCTCTTCTCCTCCTACTAGTACTGATAGCTGGAGGGCTAACACCCCCCTCTCTCTCTCCCTCCCTCCCTCTTCCTGCTCTTACCATTCTCTCCCATCCTGCCACTCAGTCTGCCCTCTGTCTCTCTCTCTCTCTCTCTCTCTCTGTTTGTCTCCACCACAGTTCAAGCTCCAGCACAGCAGAGTAGAAGCGTTAGATTAGTGGACCATTCATCCTCCTTCCTTTCCCACCCACTGTTTGTTTAGAATCAGAAGGCCCTTCTGGTTGATTCCCAGCACCATCAGCAGTTTTTCACTCCTTCCATCCCTTTCCCCCTGTTTTAATCTCTTATCTCCACCTCAAACAGGTCTGTCGCTGACTGACTGACTGACTGACTGATCAGGTTAACCCATCGGTCAGCCGAATGGTGTGCGACTGAGTGCTGAAGTTGCACCGTTGGTCGGCTGGGGTTGGGGGTGTTGGAGTTTATGCATTACCGAATACCGAATAATATGGTGCGAACAAGCAGCATTGTCAACTTAGCCCCTTTGTCACCAGATCTACTGTCTTTTCAGATCCCCCTTTTTTCCCTTTCTTTAATCACCTAGCGACTTTTTTGGACAAACGCTCTTTCACAGTAGAGAGTTGCCTGTATAACTCAGTGAGTTTGAGGTCTGGCTCTCCCTCCGCAGGCATGCGTCTCTGTGCTGACAACTGTTACCAACAATGTATGAACATGGCAAATCAATCTTGTATGTATGTAAAAGTTAGCATAACATCCTTTGGTGTCAAAGTCTGCTTTAGCTATTTATATTATTATAGTTATTATAACATTTAAGGGCTGAGTCTGATTCACATATTACAATTATTCCGATAGCAGGGTCTGAAATGTGTCAACAAGGTGCAATCAAGATTTAAAATAGCTGAAGTTAATTTGAGCATCAGTGTTTTCTCGTATATATCTAAATGACTCCATTAGGATCAACAGTTACGTTTTATAAATACACTGACTATGCCTTCTTGACAGGGATATGTTTTTCCCATTGACAAAATAATTTTAGGAGAGCTGTAAATCCTAAAAATATATTTTCATCCTATTGAAATGATATTAAAATGATATTTAAAGATTTATTAGAGCTGGGGAAAACAGTAAACCCTTGCCTGTTCCTCTCTGACGAACCCTGAAGTCTCTGACAAACAGACGGCCCCTGGTCAGGTCAATACACTGAGGCAGGTGTTACAGTTAAAATTGCTTCCCCTGATGATTGTCTGTGTGTTTGAAATGTAGGTGGAGCCCTGCAGCTTCCATGTGAAGGGGGTTTGTCCAGGCCTCTTGGCTTGGTGTGTGTGTGTGTGTGCGTGTGTGTGGTTGTGTTTGTGCGTGTGTGTGTGTGTGTATGTGTATGTGTGTGTGGTTGTGTGTGTGCGTGTGTGTGTGTGTAATGTACCATCTTTCTTATTTGTTGTACATGTGTGTCGATTTCCGTGTCTGTGTCTTTGTCTGACCATAATTTGTCTGTCGTACCAGTATACATTTATGGCTGTAAGGCAGACCACTCCAGAGAGGAGTGTGTTTATTGAGTGTTTTGTTTTTTTCTTTTTTAACCTCTTGCCTCAAGACACTGCGGCTGCCTGGTGCTCACTCAGTCTTTCTCTTTCCTTCTTTCTGTTTGAGCTTTTAACCCTCTTTCCAATTTCCTAAAAGCAGCATAATCTTTATCTCAGTTAAAGACAGTCACCAAAATATGAAACCAGCTGTCAAACTGCTACAAAAACAAAACAAAAAATCCACTTTCAAATTGTTTTTTTTTTTGTTTTTTTCATAAGAATAGCAGCATTACTTGACTGTACTCTTCAGTCGCCCCAGCTGCAGTCAAACGTCCACTGTCTTCCTGAACTGAACACAGTCAACGACAACACACGGACTCATTATGAGCCACAAAAGGCCTTTCAATCACCGCCACAAATCAAATCAATGGGCAAAACTATTCCAATCAAGATTTTCTCAGTGCTGGTGCCAAATAAGGAAGTAGGACCATCTGAGCTCACATTCAATAGATACAAAAGGCAAATAATGTCTTGTCGCTCAGACATAGTGAAGCCCTGTCAAGCCACTATGTCATGTTCTGTCTTCTCCCCCCGCTCTCCCTTGGCAGTGACACTGTACAGTCATTTATGATGACTTCCCATCTCTGCAAGGAGTAAATATCACAAAGAGAGAGACATCCTATTGGCTGCCTCTGCAAAAAACCTCTCTCGGCGTGAAGTGGGCACTCTATTCCTGACTCACACAGGAAGTGTCACAGCTTGGCTGGAAGTGCAGAAATAT